TGCAAGCATTTTGTTTGTTTGTTTATCATTGCCAGGGGGCACTGAGTAATAATTTTTCTGGAAACAGGGACTGAGGGCCTAATAAATTTGAGAAGCTGTGGACTTTAAATCATATGATCTGGGCAAGTCTTCCTGAGAAGGTGCTGTTTGAGTGAGGTGGTGGGAACGGGAGCAGCAAGCACAGAGGCCCCCCGGGCAGAAGTCGGCCTGGCAGGTGTGAGGAAGAGGGTAGGAAGACCAAAGTGTGGGATGGGGTGGGGGGAATTTTCAGGATGGGACTTCAGAAGTCTGTGTTGAGAGGAGGGGGCGTGACAGATTCAGGGCTTGGTAGACCTTTATGTGTCTGGATGTGCCTTCTGCAAGTGGACCCCTGTGTTATTCTCTGCCTGAGAATGAAGCCCATTCCAACAATGGCGGAGCCCAGAGAAGGGGAGAATCCAGGAACCCCAATGGCATCGCTGAGTCCCCTAATCAATTGACCCTAGATCTTATTTCTTATTAAGTCTATTGTTCCCAGGAACAGCCTAATTCTCATGGATAAGAGCTTCTTAGAGCCCAGTCATCCCGACCAAGGGCTTACAGTAATAGGCTATTTCCAGGTTTATGAAGATTGGCTCTTCCTTATTCTGTGCCAGTACTGTGCCCCCTGTGGGTGTTTGAGGTTGCTTAGCTGCAGGTAACAGAACCTGAGGGATGGTGTGCACGGGATGCGTGGTCACAGGGTGAGGTCTCGGGGATGCTCTGGGACTGATGGTCTGAGGAATCCAGGTTTCCCCTGCCCTTTTGCACAGCCATCCATAGCTGGTCTTCTGTTCATGAACTTGTTGTGCTGTGTTTTTATGACGGCTGCCACCATGGCAGGCAAGATGTTTTTGTGCGCCGCAAGCAAAGGGGTCGAGCAAAGGGTGGGTTGCCAGAGTGGCGAGGGCAAGGTGTCACAGGCAATCAATGCACCACCCCGCTCATTATTTGTTTGCTGGTGGAGTCAGTGGGCTATGCATTGGGATCCTACCTGAAAGGTCAGCAGTTCAAAACTACCAAGGGAGAATGATGAGGCTTTCTGCTCCTCTAAAGATTGACAGCCTCAGAAACCCACAGGGACAGGGGCAGCTCTACCCTGTTCTGTGAGTCAGCATCAACCGGATGGCACCGAGGATTTTGTTTTCATAAAGGCAGTATCATGTTCCCTGCAGACCTTCTTGTATACCTTAGTGGCCAGAACTGGGGCACACCGGCAAACCCTCACTTCAAAAGTGGCTGGAAAAAAAGCTGTCCCTTTTGCAGCCTCTCTGGCGATGAGCTAATCTACAATTTAGAACTAAATTTGGCTGCATAGGAAAAAAATGACCTCATCTTAAACAAGGCAGTAGGAGAAGTTGGGCAGGGGCGGCGAAAGGTCACAGGCAATCAGGACCTGTCCTGGTAGCCTCAGCAAGCCTGGCCACATCTCTGCTCTTTGTGCTCAGTCCCCAGAGGCTCGGTCATCTGGAGGAGAAAGGAAGGGGACTGAGCATGCCCCGTGTGCCCCCCCCCCCGTCCCCCCCTCTTTTATGGGCTGCTTAGCAGTGCCACTGGACCTTTCTGCTTAGGGTTCATTGGCAAGAACTTATTGGAGTTCCTAGCTGCAAAGGAGGCTGGGAATTGTAGTCTTTATTCTGGGTGACCATGTTTCAGGAAGAAAACCAAGCAGGATTCTGGTGCCAAGGAAGAAAAGCACATCTTGGAAGAGTGTATCTTAATCTTTAAAAGAAATAAATCATAGAATTTTATAAATAGCAACATGCTGGAGCATAGGAAGATATTTCCTTCCCTGAGAACTGTCTGTTGAAGTCCTGTTTGTTCATTTTCCCATGGGACCATTGGATTTCTAATAGATTATGTGGCAGCTCTTAAATATGAAGGGAATCAGTTTTTGGTCAGTCATATGTCGTACTAATATTTTTTCTCATGTGATGGTGTAGACTGAGTTGTGTCTCCAGAAAGATATGTTGGAGTCCTGATCTCCTATGAACGGGAGCTTCTTTGGAGGTCGGTCTTTGCGGCTGCAACTAGGTAACAGGAGGCTGTACAGTAGGCTCTGGCCAATATGACTGGCGCCTTTATGAAAAGAAGAGAAGAGTCAGGCACACACCTGGTGGAAATGCCCTGTGGAGACAGAGGCAGAGACGGGAGTGATACATCTGCAAGGCCAGGGACACGGGGGTGGGGTTGGAGGGGGGGAGTGTAGGCTGTCAGATGCTGGGACAGACCAGGAAGACCTTCTCTAAGAGCCCACAAGGAGAGCAGGGCCCTCCTAGCACCCTCAGTTCAGACTTTTCTTCCAAAATCATGAGTCTAGACATTTCAGTTGCTTTAAAGTCCACCCAGGTAATGGTACTGTGGTAGGTACATAATCTGTTGTCAATTTGAGACTGAAGAGTGAAGGGGTGGAGTTTAGCTTGTCAATCAGGCCTGTTTACAATTCAAAATGAACAATTTTAACTTTTGTCCCCCCCTCTCCCACAAAGCCCTTGCCCCTGCCGTCTGCAGTGCCAGCACTCGTATGGGCGCTTGGAGAGCAAGGTTCATGTCAGTTGGTACAAAAGGCTTTTATTTTAGAATATTCTTTAATAAATCATTTTATTGGGGGCTCTTACAGCTCTTATAACAATCTGTCCATCCATGTGCCAAGCACATTTGTACATATATTGCCATCATCCTTCCAAAACATTTTCTTTCTATCTGAGCCCTTGGTATCAGTTCAAAAGGTTTTTGAAATGTCACATTTGTCCGTGCGTGTGATGGTTAATGGTCTGTGTTAACTTGGCTAGGCTGTGTTCCTCAAGGATTTGGCAGGCAGTGGACTAGTTGTTCTTGCATATCGTGTTCATGCTCCGTTTTATGATCTGATGTGAGCGGCCACTCACTTATTATTTGGAAGCTAATAATTTTCTGTGCGTGTGCGTGTGCGTGCGCGTGCGTGTGCGTGTGTGTGTGTGTGTGTGTGTTCTGCAGCTAAAGATACGGGCAACCTGGCAAAGCAGTCCATTCTCTCTCGATTCTGCTGCTGACTCATCATCCCCTGACCTCCAGTTTGGGACTATGAGCCAGCCGCATGACACATTCAAGTCTCGGCCTGCTGATTTGGGGTTTGTTAGCTCCTGCAACTGTATGAGTTGGGAGAAGCCTCCAAACTTGAAGCTTGACCACAGATTTGGGATTTGTCAGCCGCCACAACTGTGTGGTCCATTTCCTTGAAATAAATCTCATGGGTCCATAGGATTCTCAGACAGTGGGATTTGTCTATGAACTGTTTGAACCCCGTGAGTCACAGAGTTTGTTTCTCCAGCACAGGGGTCGGTACACTTTCTAGTTGGGAGAACCAGTCCTATCGCTGACAACAATTTAACAATCATTTGAGGGCCACAAAGATACATTTGCAGGCAAATGAAACCATTATCTGAATACTACCCTTGAACTCTTTTCCAGCTTTACTTCAGTGCCACACATGCGTATTGAAAGAGCTGCGTGTGACTGGCAAGCCGCACTTTGCCAACCCCTGCGCTAGAGAACTCAGCTCAGATGAGGGAAACCATCTCAGGTCATACCAGATGTTCCTCCTCGGGCCGTTCCCTGGCTTCTAGACTGCCCACAACTGTCTCCAGGTACCACTCACAAAGGCTGCCTCTGGAGAGAGGCCCCAGGAGA